TGTGTTCGCTCAGTAAATCTGAATTAAGTGGCCACTGTGTGCCACCCACTAGGGCTGCAGCTGTGTACCAGGTAGCTCCGCTCAAACTCCTGCCTCCTAGGGCTGAGGCCCGCCTCAGAGACACTCAAACAACATCTTGATTTCAGTTTTGAGGAATGGTAGAAAGTAAAAAGGCTAAACATGGAGAAGGTTGGGCATGAGAAAAACCGCTTCAAAAGCCAGAGATTTAGCTCAGTGGTTCCGCTGCCTGCCTCGAAACTACAAGGTCCCGAGTTCGATCCTCAGTACCACAAAAAAAAAAAAAAAAAACTGCTTCAAGGAAGTGACGATTAAGCTGAGACCAAAGCATAGGTCATCAGGTGAGCAATGGGAGGAGCCGGCCCTGGGATATTTAAAGCTCCCTTTCCTTTGAGAAATGTCAGGTTTGTAGGAGATGAGGTAGAGATGAAATTGTCATCGCTGAGAAGGGCTCTCAGAACATGGAGCTTAGGGACAGGAAACCACTAGTACCGGGAGGCCCGATGAAGTGTGTGTCTGGAGACAACACTGTAACCAGTGTGGTGACTTTGCCCAAGAGGTGTTTTGTGACAGTGCAGAGGGCAGGAAGCTGTGTTCATCTGAGAGGTAGGGTTTGTTCTTAAGACACGCTAGGCTGGTTTTTAATGGGATCATCTCTTTTATTCTCCTTCTTTCCCTTACCATATAAACTACGAATTAAACTTGCATTTTGAGAATTCACTTGGGATCTACTCACCATTCTTCCTGTAGAAACATGTGTTCAATAAAATCGTCCTGCCTGGCTATTTTTCAGGTCATGTAGATTCTGGGACTGCAGTAGGAAATGAAGTGATTCATCTCTGCCCTCAGGGGACTTCTAAGTTAGCTCAGTGAGCAAGCTGGAGAGGCAGGGAGGGTGAGCCTGAAGCCAAACCGCACACTTCCTGGGGTGTCCCTCCAGGACTATGTGAAAGGAAGCCTCTTCACCTGCTTCTTACTTGGTCTGTGTAGGATGGATCATCTTAACCTAAGTGCACACAAGTCCCAGTGCTCTGTCCAGAATGCACACCATAGGGGCTTCTGGAAAGAACAAGCTCTTGCCCTAATTCATTCTCTTCTCCTCTCTCTCTCTCTCTCTCTCTCTCTCTCTCTCCCTCTCCCTCTCGCTTCCTCTCTCCCCCCTCTCAAAAATGAAATGAACCTTGGAAATTGGTTTCCAAATCATAACATTTGGAAAAGCAACCTTACATGTCATTTCCTTACCCATCAAAGTCACTTGCCTTTCGGCTTTCCTACATTATTTCCATGATGTTTATTCTTGAAGAAAAGGGACAACCACACACACCCCTGTCCCCAAAGGGTCCACCTTCTTGTTTGCTGAGTGGATCCATAGGCTTGGTACGTGTGAAGAGTAATCAGGTCATGCTGACAGGAGCCATCAGGATTTGTGACTTGCTCTGAGGACAAGTGCCTGACTCTTGTCCTGGAACCGCAAGTCTCGATAGCAATGCCCCTTTGGTCTGGTGGTGAGAAGGCTTTGCAAGTGACGTGGAGCTGCTGTAGGAAGAAATGACAGGATATTGTCTCCTGTGACATTGTGAAATGATCAAGGAAACTAGACACAAGAAAATCTTGCCTCAGAATCTTGCCTCCATTCCTTTGTACTTCTCGGATGTATTTTTCCCCTGACTCAGTAATGGAACCAAACTGGAGATTGTAGTAACAATGTTGTGTAGGCACAATGACCTTTTTAATCTAATCAGGGTGAGGCAGTAAACATTTGTCTCAGCGACTCCCTGCATGTACAGCTGACCCAGTGCACTCTCTTTTATATCGAATGCCAAGGAGCAGGCTAGCCTGTGTCACTCACAGTCCCTTCAGTCTGAAGCAACACGTACCTCAGTGTAGACTTTGGAGCTTGAAACTCCTTCAGGAAACAGAAAATTTCTATTCCAAGACTTATTTCACCTTGGCCTGTGCACCTACCAATGTAATCACAGGACAGAGAATTTGGCTCCTCAGCCATTATTAAACTTGTTCGTTAACTTGTGGCCCATAAAGTGTCCTTCCAGTGTATGGTTCCCACACCTGGTAATGAGTAATTCCCATGGGCTTAGGACTTTGACCTCATATCCTCCCTCCCGAGAGTCATCACCGGAGATGGGTTGGTCCTCCTTAATTGTGGGTTGAGGAGGACAGCTGTAAAATGGTAATGACTGTCATCACTGACCCACACCTACTTCAGAGAAACTGTGAAGTGTCCAGGCTGTGGCTAATCTTGCTGGCCATCATAGCTCAGCCACAGTATTATTTATAGAATCAGCTGTGATCAAAGCACCTACCTGTTAAGGGGATTTGGCTAAAGAAGTAAACAGCTGCCATTTGGTTCGCACCTTTCATTACTTTCAACTGGGTTCTGTTTTCTTTGAATTGATTTTGGTGCCTGATAGTCCGGGCTAATTAAGACAATTAAAATGCCAGGCATAAGATGCAGCAAGAATCCCTGAGCTTCTCTCCTTAAGGAGGCTACTGATTGGGCTGAGGTGGGGTTGCACTGCCACCTTGTGGTTTGAAATGGCATCTGCTTGTGAAGTAAATCTCAGTGGCTTTTCTGATTGAGAGGCTAATTCACCAAAATCATAGAATGGGTATTTTTTTATTTGCTTAAATTCTTTTATTGGTACATTTTAGGTATGCAATACGTTTACATTTGTCATTGGGTGCTTGTAGCTGTACATGATGTATCTTGGTTCTTATTTTTTCCCCATTACCTGTGTGCCCTTCACCCCTCCACCCTTCCCTATTTACATACTTCATTTCCATTTTTTTTTCTTTTCTCATAATTTTTCCTTTCCATAGAATGGGTATTTTTAGATGATAGTAGATTATAGAGCTTTCAGGACACAAATAAATAACCAAACTCACTTCCTACAGGATTCACAATAGAAGTCCCATAACCCTAAACACTAACCTTTCTCAAGGCCAAAAGGCAAATTCCTATATCATCCAAAATGATACTGAATTGAGGAATGGAGGAAGTTACCATTGACTCTTATTCACCATTTTTTTATTAAATTATAATTACAGCCATGATTTTACATAGGCACAGCCAGTGATAAAGTCCATCTAAACATGGGGAGGGGTCAGTCCATCTACACACAGCAGGGAGAGGTCAGCCCATCTACACATGAAAAGGTCAGTCCACCTACACACAGAAGGACAGAGAGGGTAATCCCATCTACCCATATTGACGGGATGGTGGTGGGAGGCATTTCTGACCCAACTGTAGATGAGCTGTCAGAATTTAAGGTATCAGCCAAAGAATAATGGGCAGCAGAGTTATGGAAGCAAATCCAGAAGCGAAGAGTAGCAGATCTCTAATACAGGAATGATCCGCCCTCAGTGGACTGCTGTGAAGACAGACGGTCATGCGTGTGGATCACACACACCTAGAAAAAGGTAGCACCTGCCATAGCCCCTCCTCCCCAGGACCCCCACCTCCACCAGTGGGACTGCTGCCACCCCGCCGACCCTAGTAGTCCTCTGATGTGGAAACTGGAACAATAGGATCCCTGGCCCCGGGGATTACACTGTGTCTCGCTCAAAAACCTGCGCCAAGTGATTGTTCTGTTCATTGTAGGATTTTTGTCCAGGATGAGAACTCTTCAAAAAAGTGTTTCTCTGAGTAGCTTTTCAGAAAATTTTAATTGAAGGAGAGTAAGTCAGGAGTTTTGACACATTTTCTCTGAAGTCCACCCTTGATTCAGTAGCTGGCGATGGTCCCCTTGCATCCTCTTTCTCCCTGCGCTGTCCTAATAGACTGACGCCCCGCACATTTCACTCTGTTCTGCCTGCCTCCCCCTGTTGAGAAAGAGAGAAGGGAGAGGAGAGGAAACAGATGTCAGAATGCGGAGAGGTGCTGCAGATCCATGCGAGGCTTGCTCAGTGAATCTCTTGATGCTCTAGTTCACACAGCCAGCGATTTTCTAAGAACTTAGCACTTTCTAAACAAACATGGATTAACCTGTTTATGAGTGAGCGAAGGAACAAACAAACATCTGTGCACAAGGTAGATCTTTTGTCTGCTTCCTAAAAATGTTTTATGGTTTGGAACTGCATTGTATATAAAAAGTTGTTTCATCTATTTTCATAGGTCTCCTTGATTAAGTACTTGCTGGAATGTATTTTCATGTCCTATTTTGGTGCCAATTTATAGGCTCAGTTTAAAGTGAATTATTCTTTGCATCAACAAATCATAAGGGAAATGGTAGTTGTTTTCATTTGTTACAGCTATCCAGGGCAAACATGCAAAAGCAATTTGACTTTATTACTGTGTGCCTGTAGTATGTACAGTTATAATATATAACCAAACAGAGGAAGAAGTGCTATATTACTCAGGAAGTCCTAATTTATATATTTATAGAGCATTAGAAGGAGGTGTTGGTGTTGACTCATAGCCTGAGGAAAACAGTTCACTTCATCTCCCAGAATTCTATGTGCACTGTAGAGAAAAGTTTCTTATTCTTCAGCTTTTTGTTATTCTTTACCTTCCACAGTCAAATAAATGTGGTCACATTTCACCTGAAAAATTTTGGCCCCAGCTGGATGGCCTTTGCCAAAATAGTTTTCACATTTCTCCTCTCAGGCATTCTCTGGTTTGTCAGGAAGACACCACAGAGCTGCTTTTGTGCATCCACTCTGAGAAGGTCAGGCAGTCACAGAGCTATCCATGAAGCAAAAATGAAGACACTGACACTCTTATCAAGAAAAACATGTTGGCTTGTGATCTGTTGTTCTAAGACAAAAATATTCCTTTGCTTCCTTTATTCCCCACACTAAGTTCCAGACTGTTCCTTTGAAGTTGGAATGTTCTAGAACTAACCAAATTGTTTTTAAAACAAGGTCTATCTGATGACAGGTCATCGTGAATAATGTAATACACTATTTTCAAAATATCCATAATACTTAAAATACTGAACAAAGCCATCTGACCATTCTCGTAGAAGCATTACGGCTGGAGCAGGGGACAGTAGCCACCAGGGACTAAAAGCTCCCTTGGGAGCACACAGGCTTTGGAGTCCAGGCGGCCACACTCAACCCTGCTGCCCAAGTCCTGAGGCTGATGCTTGGGGCAAGTAAGTTCTCTGCTGGGATTCTGCTTCTTTGTGTGTGAAACAGGGACTCAGGTGTGGTAGTGGCAGTTAAAGGAGGAAAGCATGCAGAGTCCCTGGCACATATCAGGTACAAAAATGTACTAAGTGCAACTCGTAAGTGCTTCATTTGTAGCTGTTTGTAAATAGCCCTTATGGGTGCTCACAGTGGCTTAGTGGAAACCAGTCCTGAAAATAAAGTCCCCTTCTCAGGCTAGGTAGCTGTGTATGTGGGTGAGGAGAGAGACTGTGTCAGTAGTGGAATTGATCTTCAACTTTCTAAGAGAAAAATGGGCTTGGGGACTTGGGGAGATAAGATGGTAGCGGGGGACAGGTGATGAATTGCATGTTTACAAAACCTTTACAATAAATGTTTTATACTAGTCTGGTAGTACGTGGGAACTTTATTTGAAGACATAAAGAATCCATTTCCCAAACATAGCAAGCTAATGGGACTCCATTGCTTCCGAGGCCGTGCTAGGCATTGGTACTTTCAGGCTGCATTTTTACAGCAGGGAAACCAAGGCCAGACACAGAAGGGACTTACCCAGAATCAGGCTTTGAATTGTGTCTCCCTGACTTTGCCCTGAGGCCTTGCTCCTTGACAGGAAATGAAGTGCTGGTGGGATATCTCTTTTCGGGGCTGCCAAGGCACAGAAATATTTGGCATTTGGGATTTCGGGGGAGATTTGGGAATATTTGAAGATACATAATGAGATGTGGGGGGAAAGGACCCAAGTCTAAGCATGAAATTCATTTATGTTCCATATTTACCTCACACATAACCCGAAAGTAATTTCACTCCTATTTTTGGTGCACCTGCGTGTGACTGCAGCCCCATCACATGGGTCAGTAGGTGTCAGGAAGTTGGGGATGCTCGGCCTGTGCATGCATCTGGTGCTGTACGTGGGAAGTAACTTCCAAACGCGTTGGTCTCCGCAGGCAGACACGGCGCCCAGCCATCCATGCGGCCGCCTCTGAGCGACTGACTCCTCCCATCAGCGGTGCCACTTCCTGCCCGCTCCGCCATGGGACCGCCGGGCAGCCTGCTGGGCGGCGGACAGGCGCAGATGCTCCTGTGGGGAAGTCTGGCAGCTGTGGCCATGTTCTTCCTCATCGCCTTCCTCGTCTTTCTGTGCTCTGGTTGTGACAGGTGAGAGCAGCGCGTGTGGCCTGGAGCCTTCCCTGTTCGGTGTACCAGCAGTCTTCAGTTACACGCGGACCCAGAAGCCTGATCTTCAGAGCCTGAAGATCAGCCGTGGCTCTCGGGCCTCAGGACAGTCTTTATTACTCAAATGAAAATCCATGTGGATTTTGCTGGGGAGCAACACAAAGAGCCCCTCTTATATTTTAAATTTCTCACAAATTCTTGCTGTTCTCCTGAAACACAACTTTGTCAAACTATAGTTTTTTTTTAATCTGTACAATATTGAAATCTTAAATGTGATACATACTTTTTCACGGTAAGTTACTGGGGTGTTTTACTGTTCCATGGGTTTCGAAGGGTCATTTATTAGTAAAAATGTGTGATGTAAATCAGGCAGCGCACATCTGTAATCCCAGCCCTCAGGAGGCTGAGGTTGGAGGATCACAAGGTCGAGACCAAGCTGAACTATGTCGCAAGACCATGTCAGAAAAGAAGGGCGGGAGGAAGGGGGAGGCGGTAGGGAGTGAATTGCAGTTTCTGAAGTAACAGGTTCATTTTTCTAGGAAAGAGACACACCGTGTCTAGGGTGATCATCGGTGTGCGTTTTTGTTTTTGTTTTGTCACCATGCATCTGTCTCCTCCATCTCGTATAAAATGCCAGTCCCCCACCAGGGATCTGTGCTCAGAGAGCAGCGAAGTTCTTCCTGCCCAGGGCTCATTTCTCCAGACACTCGGGAGTGGTTACCTTCACGCAGCCCCCGATGTTGTGCTGGGAGCCAGTGTGGAACGGCTGAGCCAGCCATGCTGCAAACTCTCTCCTGACCCTCAGAAGAAATTTGACCAGTGTCACATAAAAATCTGACACGGCTTCCTACCCTAAAATCTGTCAGGAGGGGGAAAGCCAGACTCCGACTCCAGATAGCCTCCTAATTCCCGCCCAACTTGGGCACAGGTCAGGTCTCTCCTTCCAAGGACTGGGCCCTGGACGTCCTGCCGCTGCAAGTACTCACTTTCCCACTAGGTGTCACTCTAGCCCCATACATAAATGGGAAACGTCGCCTCCACCGCCGCCCATGGTTTTCTTTAGAGTGGCCGGAGCAAAACCCTTCAATTTTCACTTGACAGGCTTTTCCATAGACTAGAAGCACATCTAGTACACAGACTAGAAGACTCATCCTGAGAGCGTGTAGCCTTCCTGATGTGCCAAAGTGTGGATTTTCTTTATTTCCCCTATTCCCTTGCAGTGTGTAACTTTGTACACTTTAAGCGAGGAAATAATTGTCTGGGTTTTCTAAGGAAAAGCTGAGATAACTCATTCCATTATTCTAGATAGCAACAGCGTCTACGAGGCGCCCTGCCTCTGTCCATCCTCCCGGTGTGCACTAGTATTCTCCCCTCTGGAAGCAAGTGCTCGTGGCAGGGACAGGCCCTCACCGTGGCTCCATTTCTTCCTGCCCCTGACACCCGCAGACAGATGTCAAGTGACTGGATTTTTTCTCTGGCTGCAAAATAAGCACGGTTCTTAAAATAAGAGATTCAAAAGTCAAGGCCTGCTATAGCAGCGCACACTTGTAATCCCACCTACTCATAAGGTGGAGGCAGGAGAATCACAAATTCAAGGCCAGCCTGGGCGACTCAGTGATTTAGACTCTTCCTCTTCCTTTTTTTTTTTGGTACCGGGGATCGAACTCGGGTCCTTGCGCTTGCGAGGCAGGCGGCAGAACCACTGAGCTAAATCCCCCCGGCCCACGACTCAGTGATTTAGTGAGACCCTGTCTCAAAATAAAAAAAAATTTTGAAGGGCTGGGATGTAGCTCAATGGTAGACCACTTGCCTAGAATACATGAGGCCCTGTGTTCAGTCCCCAGTACTGCAAAAAAGAAATTGATAATAATTAGACTAGGCAAGGGTAGTATATGTTTAATTCTAAGAGGCCTATTTGATATTAGAATAATGTTTTATTTTCCACTTCAGAGAAAAGAAGCCAAGACAGCACAGCGGGGACCATGAGAACCTGATGAACGTGGTGAGTGTGTGTGTGTGTGTGTGTGTGTGTGTGTGTGCTTAAAACATCAGCCACTTCTCCAAAGTGGCCCCACTTGTCTGTGATCTCAGCGGCCCAAGGGACAGAACTGAGTGAAGGTCCACTCACTGCCGGGGCTGCACCCCCCTTCCAGAGAGGCTGATCTCCGTGGCCGAGGCCTGTGCAGTTGGCCAGGTTTGTGGAGAGAGATTCTGAAACGGATGCAGTGCATCCGTTGTGCAGCCCCCAGAAAGACGCTTACAGGGCCCCGAGCTACTGCAGGGTTGTTGCTGTTTTGCCTCTGCCCAGCTCCAGTTTGCTGTCACAAACATGGTGGTGTAAACAGCGACCACTGCCTCTCGTTTCTGGAGGCCAGAAGTCTCCACACCAAGGTGCTGTCCGGGTCGGTCTGTCCCGGGCCCTCTCCTGGCATCTGGCGATATTTAGTTTACAGAGGTGTCACTCCACCTCTGCCTTCATCAGCACACACCTTCTCCTCTGCCTTTTGCTTCATCTTTCCTCTCTGCGTGTCTCACAGGTCCAAGTTCCCCCTTATGAAGACCAGACATACTGAGCTGGGCCCCACCCTTCCCTCGTGTGACCTCATCCTAACTGGTATCATTTGCAGTTACCTTGTTTCCAAATGAGGTCACATCTGAGGTACCAGAGGTTGGGACTCAGACAAGAACTTGCAGTTGGGGGAGGAGTTCAGCCCTTCACACCTGGTTATGAAGCTCATCAGGGCCTGGCACCCGCAGCACCCCCGTGCAGCCTGACCCTGCTTTCCTTGCCCCGGCTCTCAGCATCTTATGGGCTCCTGGTGAGTCCACCTGGTGAGGAGCAGGCCGAGACTGTTCTGGTTGTCCCCATAAGTGGCCGAGCAGTCACAGCAGCTGAGGGCATGTCCACCCTCTTCCCAAGGCTGAGTTCAGAGTCCAGCCTGTGCCCTGCTATGGTGCTAAACAAAAGGTGCCTTCTGTTCAGGACATTATGCCTCAAGGCCAGGTCAAGACCGCTTGGGGGAAGTGGGCACAAAGGAAGTATGGACCTGTCAGATCTACACTACCAGATCTAGGGTCTGACTTGTAGCCTGCAGACATTCAGAGCACACACAGAGCACAGGCTACCTGACCCCGAGTTCTCGGCCTAGGAAGTTGTGAGGGTGCCTTGATTTCTCCTGGGGCCCCGAGGTTTCCTGCCCCTTCCTGCCTGTGTGGAGTACCCACCTCGCCACACTTCTCTCTGGGACCCTCAACAAGCTCCTCTGAGACACTTTGCTCGCCGCGTTCCCACCTCAGTCCACGTCATCCACATTGTCCCCGTTTCTCACCCATCCCCGGCCTCTGTTCCCCCGTGATGGCTGCTGTGGGGGAATCCAAGGGGAAGTGAGAGGGCTGGGGAGACCACCTGTACCCTCACTCCCTTATTGGCCAGGGCTTCTCAAGGGTGGCCGGACCCCAACCACAGCTGCAGGCTTGTGAAGGATGGGATTCTCCAGGCCTGGGGCCCAGGGAGTTAGAACCAACCTCCAGCTGCTCCTCCTGTGGGCTCCCATGTGAGAACCACTGGCCGGAACCTCTGGACCCCACTGTCTGCCAAGGTCAGGCAGTAGCTGTGGGTGAGATAAAAAGAAATTAGCAGGTGAGTGAAAGGAACAAGTTCATTCAGCGTGGTGGAGCAGACCTGTCATACCAGCCATGCAGGAGGCTAGAGCAGGACGATATCAAGTTTAAGCCCAGCCTGGTAAACTTAGCAAGACCCTGTCCCAAAATAGAATTTTGAAAAAGGACTCAGGCTGTAGCTGCCTAGGTTCAATTGCCAGCACCACCAAAAAAAAGAAAATAGGAAGGCAGGAAGGCAAGAAGGAAGGCAGGAAGGCAGGCAGGCAGGCAGGCAGGCAGGCAAAGGAACAGTCAGAGAAAGCTGGCTCTCTGTACTTTCTTCCTCACCCCCATCTCCTTGATCATAGCTCCTCGTCCCCTCGCTGTATGCCTGCACTCCTGTGAGGGAGAGAGCGCACACACACTGGCAGTATTGCCTGCACACGTACACGCGTGTGTTCTCACACACACGATCCTCAGAGCTCAGCTCATCGATCACGTACAACCTGCAGGTGCCACCTCCTGGAGAAGCTGATCAGGCCTGGAGTGCAGAGCCCAGGCTGTGGAACTTCAGCTGTGAGGGTTATGCTGTCTGAGGCCCATCTGGGCGCCCTCCTCCACCCACCCCTCCCCACTGGGACACCGTTTCGGGGACACTGGCACCTGCGTTTCAGGTGGCAGATGTGAGCAGCTCTGGCCTGGAGCAGTGGCTCACTCAGTGCAGGCCGTGTGCTGTCTCACTGTTACTCAGTTCCCCGTCAGGAGTCAGAGGATTTGTGAGCTCATAGAACCGAGGCTCCTGTGCTGTGTACATCAGAGCCTTCCATGTGGGAACCTGGAGCCTGAGGTCGCCTGTAGGGTCACACAGCCCCTGAGAACAGTGTTGGGGTCGGGGACACAGTGATTCAGGCTGCTGCCTGGGACCAGTTGGGTACTTAGAGAAATGTACACAGAACAAACTTGTTTCTTCCTACCCTTCGAGACAGCCAAGCCTGCCATGTTGCTCCAGGTAATATACATTCTAACCCAGCAGCAACTGGCAGTGCCATCCTCCCCTGACCCCCAAGTGTCCTGTCTTTGTTTCTGAGAATAAGGAAGGTTTGCAAAGCTATATTTTAGTACTTGATTGTTTTGTGAACCTTGAAGTAGAGACTTGGCTGTTCTGAAATAATCTCTGAAACCACCAGCACTGGCTGTGTTTACCCAGGTCTCAGTCTGTGCCCATCAGGTGACAGAGAGTGATGCTCCCTCAGGTTTTCCACACGCACCTGTAAGAAGAGCATTTTACAGCACCCTGCTATGGGATGCGGCTGCTCCCTGCTGGGTCCATTCTGACCAGCAGGGGAACTTTGGTCCCCTCCTTGCCTGAGCTCACGTGACAGAGGCATCATAACCTCCCTGCATCCAGAGAGATCTCCAGGTGGAAAGCTCTGCCAGGGGCCTGGAAGATTCCCAGGGAGATCCTGGAGCCACACTGTCCAGTAGAGCCTTCCGTGATGTGCTGTCTGATGTTGTGGTCCTCAACTATTAAGCTCTTAAATGTAACTAGTTAACTGAAGAACTCAATTTCATTTTACTTTACCTAATTTAAATCTAAAGAGTCAAGGCTGGTTTACTCTTTATGTTTTAAGTTTTAGAAAAAGCCATGCATGTTCTCCTATGCCACACAGCCTAAAGTCTTACCCCTGTGGGTGCGTTTGTGTTTTGCAGCCTTCAGACAAGGAGATGTTCAGCCATTCAGTGACCAGCCTGGCAACAGATGCTCTCATTAGCAGTGAACAGAATGGGGCACTCACCAATGGTGACAGTAAGTTCTGCAAAAAAATTCCAGCTTCCCACCCAGCCCTTGTCACCTAGCAAAGTGCTAGGTTTCAAAAACTGTAGCTCAGAATCTAGGAACTGTATTCTCATTCCCTCAGAGTGTGACTGTCACTTTTAGCGAGCAATCTCCTTTGGATAATTGTTATCAAATATGCACTGATCACTGGGCATAGGGGCACACACCTGTAATCCCAACACTCGGAAGCTGAGGCAGGAGAATCACTGTGAGTTCCAGGCCAGCCTGGGTACATAGTGAGTTCAAGGCCCGCCTCAAGGACATAGCAAGACCCTGTCTCAAAGAGCAAACAAACAAATAAACAAATGTCAACTGACATCTTCTGTGTGCCAGGTGTCTCTGTACAATATGAGCTAACTCACCCAAGCCCTGTAAGATTACTTCTTAATCATAGTAGTACTATTTCTACCTTCTGAAATAGGAGTTGTTACCATTTAAAGATGAGGAAACTACACATTGCTGCTATAACAAATTACACCACAAACTTAGTACCTTAAAACAACACACATTTATTAACATTCAATTCTGAGAGGTTAATAATTTGTGAAGATCTTACCGTCACTGAACCAAGGATCTGCCACTTTGAACCAGGTTCTCCAAGTCTGGGGTTGGACACTCAGAGCCACTTTGCATAGCGTCCATTTGTTTCCTGCACTGTGGACAAAAGTAGCAGTTCGGTTCGCTTCATACTTTACAGCCTACAGAGCGCTTCCCCCTAGGGCAAGAGGTCATCCTGTTACCCCACATCCTGATAAGGAGCCTGAGGGGTGGTCAGGATTGACACCCTAGTCCTCAGATACAAGTGCCCATTCTCTGTCCTCCATGAAACAGATGACCAGGCCCAGAGGACAGAAGGCCACCCCTCCTGTGAGTTTAGATCATAGGGTGGTGGTGTTGAGTTCAGAGATTGAGGGACCCACCACGATTGCCCCACACACCTCTTGGGGACACCATTTCTGATCCCTTCAGAGTGAAGATTGGGGTAACATAGGAGCTTGCTCACTCTGCTGTAAGCGCCACAAGGAGTCTGTTCTGTTGGCAGTTGTATCTCTACTGCCTAAAACTATCGCTGGCATGTAGCAGGCACTCCAAAACCATCTGGTAAAGGATGACCAACTGGCTTAACACGGTAACATTTCTGTGGCAGTCCACAAATTTCACATTTGGATGTCCTAATTTGAAGGAAGAATATTGGGGAGCAGGGAGAAGTCCTTTAAAGAGGCACAAGGTGTCCAGACCCTCCATGTGTGACACTGACGTACAGGCCCTACTGCTTCCATTATACCTGGCAAACAAAAAGGATCTGTGCGGGGAGATAGCTACCAACTCTTCCCTCCCAACGGGGAGGCAGCAGGGTAAGACAAGTGGCCCCCACGCACATCCCCTTTCTCTTAGTGTCCAGTCTCCCACAGTTTGGCCCCATGGATTGTCACTTTGATCCTGTGGTCGCATGGGACACTGCCCACACAAGTCTTACTGGGAGAAGTGATAAGTAAGAAAAGCAACGGTGAGCCAAAGTGTAGTCGAGATCATTTATGAAATGTACTGGGAAACCCATAACGAATGGCTTCTTTTAAACTGAGATTGAAATGAGACTATCAACCAGCATCACAGCAGCCATAATCTGCAGCCAGGCATCACATCAAAAGCAAGCATCTTGATTTAACCTAACACTGCATAACTGATTCGCTGATGAAGTATAGTAGTTGTTGAAGGATTTGTCTTTCTCCACTTTTAACACTTCCGCTGCTTCAGTCCTTTCAGAAGACAGCACCCTGACCTGCATGCAACACTATGAGGAAGTCCAGACCTCAGCATCAGACCTGCTGGACTCCCAGGACAGCACAGGGAAGCCCAAGTGTCATCAGAGTCGGGAGCTGCCCAGAATCCCCCCCGAGAGCGCTGTGGATGCGATGCTCATGGAGAGGAGCGCAGATAGTGAGCAGGGGCCAGGCACGGAGGGGCCGTACGAGGTGCTCAAGGACAGCTCGTCACAGGAGAACATGGTAGAGGACTGCTTGTACGAAACCGTGAAGGAAATCAAGGAGGTGGCAACAGCCGCACACCTGGACAGAGGCCACGGCAGCAAATCCAGGTCGACTCCCACCTTGAAAGAGCTCCCGGGACCCCAAACGGAGGGCAAAGCAGACTTTGCTGAATACGCCTCTGTGGACAGAAACAAAAAGTGTCGCCAGAGCATTAATGCAGAGAGCATTCTTGGAACTTCGTATGATCCAGAAGAGGAGGCCCCACCACCTGTTCCTGTTAAGCTTCTGGATGAGAACGAAAACCTTCAGGAGAAGGAGGTGAGCACAGCAGAAGAGTGGACCGCAGAGGAGACCGGGAAGACCAACAAGGTGGGCTCCACTGCGTGGGTTTCATGGCTTTTGTCATGATGGGGAGTCCAGCTAGTCCTGGGGGTTTCACTTTCATGTTGTCCTGGGATAGATACAAACACTTGCAAGTTCGTTGAATGATGAAAGCTGTTTTAGGGTAAGCTGTGTTTGGCTTTTTTCCCCTCCAAGTAATAAAATGGTAAAAACTCATGTTTAGAAAATATTTCTCTCTCAGCACCTTACTTGGATATTTTCCAAGATTTACAGCATGTCTAATTGGGGCCAAGTATTATTTTCCTTACTTTGAAGACCAAGAATAAAATAAAGACACCTGACTCTCAGCCACATATTTTGCCTCTCCTGCTTTGTTGCTGCTTCAAAGCAGCACGGCAATCTTGACCTTTGCAGGATCGCAGAAGTCAAAGCACAGCCGCAAGTACAGAGAGAGCTGACTTGCAGGTGCTGAGGCTCTGTCTGAGGGTACACGCTTCCCTATAAAACAAATAAGCAACCTTATTTTGTGAGTTTCTAAGCAATAACCTACGGCTCTGAAGCTTAGACTTTCAACAGAGCTCTAAAATGTGTTAATAACCTATGGCCTTCCGTGTGTCTCATCTGATGCCTGAGCCCCCGGAACTTCTCATCTCCAGGTGTCCCAGCCTCCTAGGGCTTTAAGTAGGCCCAGTCTGCTTTAGGAAACTGATAACAAGTTTCTGTTCTCCACACACAGAAAAAGTCAAGTTCTCACCTGCCCAGGTTTTGGTGGGAAAGACAAGCAGAGTCGGTCAGTCAGTGTAGCCTTAAACGCTTCTCGAGTTCATGGTCAGAAGGTGAATCCCAGCGATGGCTAGGCAGGTCACCCCAAGAAAGGCATTCCTGATCCTGTTCTCTGGATGCATTTCAGTTTTTCATATTATCCCATGAAATCAAGTCTCAAGAGCATCAGTAAAAATGTTTATGAACATGTTCATAAATGCAGTCTAATTTTCTACCTTTTGTGTAACCAAAGTAATACAGCCAATGTAGATGTATGCTGCCTAAACCAGTAAAAACTTCTTGCTTGCAAGAACTTGAAAGGTTAAGAAGTAGTTCTCTAGATTTTACATTAAAAACTGAAAGTACACATCTGGAAACCAGATTATCTTTTTACAGTATAGTATGAATGAGTAATCCATCATCCCCATATAAACAATCCTAATAGTAAGTGAATTGAGTATTTGAAATGTTTAATATTCATTAATTCAACAAAAACATTTTAATGAGCACTCGCTATGTACCATATGGTATAGGTGCTGGAAATACAGCAATGAACGAACATAATTGAACAAAAATTCGTGCCCTTTGGAGCTTATAGCTTAGCAGGAAGAGAGAGGCACAAAGTTTAAAGTTTATAAGAATAAGTATAATAAAGAGGACTGTGAAATGAGGAGCTAGAGAGTATAGTTTTGGATAGAGTAGTCAGGGTCTGGCTAGCAGTGGAGGTGACATTTGATCAGAGGTAAAGGAGGTGAGTGAGTCATACAAGTGCTCTTTGGGGCACTTGTGCTGTTTGGGAAACAGAAAATGAAGCAGAGGGGACAGCAGGTGTGAAGCCCCTGAGGACAGTGGCAACCCCAACGCATGTTTTGAAGTAGACCATGAAGAGTGAAGCAAAGAGACCAATGGATGGCCAATCTAATCGCCAGATGAAAGTCGGGGGCCTTGGACCAGTGCAGGGGCAGCAGAAATGATGAGAGGAGCTAAACTCAAGCTGTGAGGTTTGCTGATGAATCATATGATCACATGGTGGTGAGAGAAGGAAGAGACCCGTATGGGTCCAAGGTTTGGCCCGTGTGGGTGGCCAGATGGAATGGCCATGCACTGAGACGGAGAAGGCCCCAGGCAGTGCAGGTCTCCAGGAGGCTGGCCATGCGGTGTGGGGGCATTTCATCCGAGACAGGGACTGGGCCTCGAGCAGACACACCACAGAGAAGCAGGGCAGATAAGTGGGGTTAGGAATAAAGGCCCAGACCGACTTTGTACATTTGAGGGGTTTCCATGGAAATGTGGTTTGTAAAGCCATGCCACGGGAGGAGGTCCGTGACGGGTGAGTGTAAACAGGGGCTGGAAGGGGGCCAAGAAAAATGAACTGGACCCAGAAGCAGCACAAGGAACCAAAGTAGGAAAGTGCAGAGTGAAGAAAGTATCTGGGGGAAAGAAGCGACCATGGTGGCACATGCAGCAGATGGGACAGGAGGAGGAGCCACATTAGCAACATGGTGTCACTGGGGACCATGACGGGAGTAGCTTCCTCGGATGATGAGGGCAGACACTTGGCTAAGTGGGTGTAGAGAGAATAGGAAGAGAAAAATCATCTGATTGATTATTTGGCTAACTCTTTAAGAGGTTTTTCTATAGAGAAGGGAGGCAGAAAATGGAGCTAGAAGCAGGGTTGGGTTTCTGACTTGTTGTGTCGTGTTTGGTTATGGATGGAGATGACCGTGCGGAGGGGGAGAGCTGAGAGTGTAAACAAGCAGTAGAATTACTGGAGCACAGTGTGAGGGGACAGGGCCAGTGTGTAGGAGGGGACTGCCTAGAGAGGAGCCTGGACGCTCATCTGTGGCACCCAGGAGGAGGAGAAATGGATGGATGCAGGGGATTTCTTCCACTTCCCTCAGTTTTCTCAGTGAATTAGTAAGCAAGATCAGCGGCTCACAGTGAGGCTGAGGGAGGAGGCATTGGAGGTTTGGGGAGAGAGAGGCAATGTAGAGCTGGGGCAGCAGGGATCACATACACTAGGGAAGTAGCGCATGATCTGGAGCAGCTTCGAGGGCTGGCTCAGTCAAGGGTCAATTCCCCAGTGACCAGCGAGGGAGCTGAGTCAAACACAAATATGATGGGTGTCTCTGAAGTTTATGATTGGTGAAGCAGGAAGGGAGGACATTGAGGAGGAGGGGCATATAGGAATGATGGCTGGATCACAAGTGCTGAAGGTTGCTGGAATTGGTTTATGAAGTCTGAACAGTGAGTGTAGATCTGAGAGGAGTTGCTAGGAGCTGCGATATGGGTTAGGGAGAGCAAAGGTCTGGGTGCAGTTACAAGAGAAAGTGGGGGGTCATCAGGTAGACTCCCAACATCAGTGCGGAGAGAGAAGGTCAAGGAACTAAAAGGGAATTTTAAGGGAGAGATATTAGTTGAAATCACTATGAATTAAGACAGGAAATATGTAACGGACAGTTAGCAAACCAGGAGCCAAAATCATTGAGAAATCAGACAGGGGCAAACTACAAAGTGTGAGTTAATTTCTTCATTAACTTCAAAAAGTCTCCAAAAATATCTAATGGATATATAAACTATAGAAATATACAATTCTACAAGCTGTAGAAATGAACAATTCTGGCATTTGATAAAGACCTGCCTGTTATCAACCCTTCTTTGATGATCAGTTCTTCAGTGACAAGTAGTCTGAATAGCTATTTTCTGCTTACTTGTACCAGCAGACTTAAATATTAAATTAGAAGAAATTTAAGTCTATGTAACAAGAATCTAAGAATGTAATTCTATGTAACACTGCTAGATATCCAAGAACATCAGACACTAACAGATTGTGCAAGTGTTTTTTCTCAGGTGCCTTGCATAATTACTTTGTGTTCCATAGAAATAATTTGAAAACATTTGTATAGACAGATATGTGAAAACATATGCCAAAAAAAGGTTGGATTATTAGATTCAAACTACTTTCCTTTGGCTTGTGTTTATTCTGATAGAGATTTAGCTCGTTGTCATACAAGTCTCGGGAAGAAGACCCCACCCTCACAGAAGAAGAGGTAAGTTTTCTTTCTAAGCAACCAGAAAGCTCCTGTAATAAAGACTAGAACTTCTCCCCTCATATAAATGCACTGTGATGTTTTTCTGTGTCTGAAAGAACTTAAGTACTCTATTATGCCTCTGCTTCAAAGTCAGAATGTGGGATATTGGCTTTATATTTAGGGAGGGTGACCAGCAGGGGGTAAACCAAGAAAGGTGACACAGTGAACAGGTCAGCCAAGAAGAAGAAACTGAGTAGGGAAGAAGGCTCAGATAAATACAGAAAGGAGAAGGGAGAAAATAAGAATGAATAAGAGAAATTTCAGTCTGGGAGTTTTAGTCAACCACTTAGGAAGACCACATTTAGAAGGATATTAGTAGATTGGAAAATCCCGGAAATTGGCATAGTGGGGGTAGAGAATTTGACCCACCTGGGACACAGAGGCTGAAGGCCTCAGTGTGGAATTTTGGGTGCAGAGAGCAAGTAACTTTAGGAAGTACAATTCCAGGCCGGAGCTGAGGCCAACAGAACCACCCACAAGAATAGGTAATGTACTCCCAAGTACCAGGGCAAAAAAATTCGCTAGTCAGACTTCTAGTGAAGCCTTAAAATCATAAAAGCTAGCATATATATGGTACATGTGGAGCTAGGCTGGGACAGAGCACTAAACAGCTCAATTCAGCTGCCTGTAGTTCCTACCTGGAACTCTACCGAAGAAACTGTGCGAGACTGATACACACATGCAGGTGCCTCACCGCCAGTAGAGGACTTGAACATTAGAATGTGAAGACGACGCCCACGAGGAAAGTTCAAGGACAGAAGTGCTTTCCATAGGTGACACTGCCTAAGCCACCGTATCTTCTCTTCCCCTGGAATGGACCTGTCACTGGTCTACCTGGTCACGCATGCCAAAGCCCTGGGGATCACGCTTGACAGCTCCTTTCCCTCCGCGTCCCACATGTAGTCAATCGCTAAGACCCTTTAAGTGAACTTCCAAACTGTCTCACCACACCCCTGTCTCTGGGACCACCCTTAGCACACCCACAGTCCATTCCTATGGTTCCCCTGACAGCTCCTTTACCCCCTTCAGGTCTGTTTTCTACAGCCAAAGTGACTCCGTTTGGGATAAGAAAGCAAAGTATAAAAACGATCTGAAAAGTAATCCTTTATAATGAAAAAAGTATAAAAGTGATCCTTTCATATAGGTAAAATGTTAAAGTACTTTGCTGCTTATATTTGTGGTTTGTAAAAACAGCATCTAGTTGTACTAAGGAATCTTTAACATAAAGAAATTCACAAACATTCATTTTAGGAAAAAAAATACAGAAATCATTTATTTTTATACTCCTATCATGTTAGACAAGCCCAGACTAAAACCAAGGTCTGTGCTTTAAATACTGCTGTGCCAGTTTAAAAGAATGGTGAGGAAAAAACTGATTATAAAAACAATGAGAAAGGCCTGGGGATTTAACTCAAGTGGCGTGGCACCTGCCTCACAAGCACAAGGTCCTGAGCTCGATCCCCCCACCCCGAAATAAATAAATAAATAAATAAATATGGTGAGAAATGCGGGAAAAGAAAAGAATAATTTGGGCCAGGGATTTAGCTCAGTGGCACCACGCCTGCCTTACAAGCACATGGTCCTCAGTTCGATCCCTGGTACCAAAAAAATTATTATTATTTTATGAAAATAGAATAACAGTTCACCAAATGAGTAACAAAGATGAAAGATTTTAAAGAGAAAAATTAAATAGCAAAGGGGGCTTGAAGGGAAACCTATATCCAAACTAGAAATAATATTATAAAGGAATATTAGAAGGCTTGAGAAGCTATTATGAAAATTAGAATTCCAAGGATATCAACTGCACACGAGGCTCACTCCCAAAGTCAATATAAGTGGTGAGTTAATGAAAGAGCATGTAATTTTTAAAAGTACGAAGGCGTAAAGGCCTAAGAATTCTCACAAAGTGGGGGGAGAGCGGGGGAGGGAGAAGAGAACGTTAATGGCAGGATCTGCAGGGACAGCAGGGAAGAAAGTTGAGGAAGAAAGCAGACACTGTTACCATCTGGGTTAACTTTAGGTGTGTCTGTGCCCCTTGGTGTTACCCTTGTAGGTGGGGAATGAACTGGTGTGCTGATTCACTTTGTTCCTGTCATCCGTGGTTCACCCCTTTATCATCTGTCCACATATTTTGCTTGGACCACTTTTTGGACGATAAACTTCATATATGTGTGCCTTGCTATGAAAATCAGTGGACTTTCTTTTATTCTTCCTAAATTCAAAGAAATTATAATTCCTATTTTGAGAGCAGTTTTTCAATTAAGTGTTCTAACATGAAAATGTGCTGTTCATTAGAACAGCCGGATCAATGTGGCAAGTTTTCCAAAGATGATTTCTCTGTCAAGGCCTAGCAAAACCGAGCCACCGGTCGGTGGGGAAGAGTTTTCATGCGAATGACCAGTTAGCACGCTGCAGGCCTGTCTTCAACAGCTTCCTGGGCCAGCTGGGATGCTCACCCACAGTATGGGAGCTAGGGAAAAGCAGGAAAATGTCCCTGGGCACTCAGGAAGCCAAGCACCTGTCAGGAAATGTGTGTATTTATTTCCTGGGTATTAGAATGATTAATCACTGTGGGGAAAATAAACACAGGTAAAGAACGATATGTTTTACTTACTTCCAGCCATGATTTATAACAATGAAATAATACTCCACAAGTACCTCTTAATCAGTACGTTTAATCTGTGTTACTGAGAAATTAAATCTCTCTTGATATTAGAGGTTTACAGGGTATATTAACAACACCACAAAGGTGTGTTTAGAAAATGGCCTGCTCTTACCACGGGAAAAAGTGTCCCATGAGTGCTTTCCAAATGTCATTTCCAACTTGGCTGCTTGCAGATAAGAAGGAATTTTCCACAGAAGAAAACTAAGCCTAGCCTGTAAATGACTTTTTAACAAATAACATACATCCAGCTCAGGAGACGATGGCCCACGGTACTTGACAGGGTGCACGCAGGCACTGCCCCCCCAGAAGCCAGAAGCCACATCAGATCTCTGTCATGCAGAAAGTATGGGACAGTCTAAGTCGCGGGTCTCACAGTCCAGTGGGCATCAGATTGCAGGGTCCCACCCACAGTCTCTGAGCCAGAAGCTCGGGGGTGAGGTCTGAGCCTTTATCCTCCTCGTAAATTCCAGCATCCTGCTGCTGCTGGTTGGAAGCCCACATTTGGAGAATCACTGGTGCAATAGATGTTTTCTGTCCTTTTTGGTAAAGCCGTGGAGGCTTAGGTAAAGCCTCATTCTGATAGAGAAATCAAAGCATAGTATGTAGCCAGGTCCTGGGGGTGCCTGCACTTCCTTCTCCAGCTGTCCTCAGTCCCTGTGTAAACTCTCAGTTTACACAGAATTAAGCAAATATGATTGATCTACTTACAAAGCTGAAGGTAATGTCCATCATTAATCTCTAGGAATGTACTCCAGAATTAGTCCAGATAATGAAGACAGACAGACAGACAGACACACACACACACACACACACACACACACACACACACACACACACACTAATACCCATGAGTGCTAAGTATGTAGCTTGTCATCAAAAGGGGAAGGAAGAGGTCACAGATTGAAGCTTGTTTTTTCAATTCTCCCTTTGTTTTCTAGATCTCAGCTATGTACTCCTCAGTGAATAAACCTGGGCAGGCAGTGCCTAAATCAGGACAGTCACTTCAAGCACCAGAGACCACCTACGCCTCCAATCCAGGGGCTCCTCAGAGGTCACCCTCTTCCTGTAATGACCTCTATGCTACCGTGAAAGACTTTGAGAAAACTCCCAATAGTGTCACTGCACTTCCACCAGCAGGGAGACCCAGTGAGGAGCCAGAGCCAGACTATGAAGCGATACAGACTCTAAACAGGGAGGAAGAAAAGGCCCCCCTGGAGATCAGTGGCCACCATGGCCTTGTCCCTAAGGAGAATGACTACGAGAGCATTGGAGACTTGCAGCAATGCAGGGATATCACCAGGCTCTAGCAAGGCAGAAGACTTCTCCAGAGAGCCTGTATTAGCATCTGGGGACAGTGCTTCTGTGGAAGATAAAAGATATCAACCTATATTTTATATGCTGCTTTAGTAAACTGGAGATAATTGCATATTCCATGACTTTTCCCAGGTTCTGTACAGGGAGGTACAGACCTGGTTGCCCCTGCATGTGCACCTGCCTGCCTGCAGACAGGCATACCCCAGCACATGCACAAACTCCCTCTTGCACCATTACCCTCCTCAGAAGATCCTAGCTTCCAGGGGTTTATCCCACAGGTGAGAAAACTGAGCTGTAAGGAAGAACTGCAGTCCACTTGCCTAAAATACTGCCATTCCGAAGAGTCAGGTTTTTCTTCCTCTCTTCTCTTTTCTCTTCTGCTACTAACTCTAACATATGTGGCATTTTCCCCTTGAAATCTTCTGATCTCTATGGCTCATTCCAAGGAAATCCTCCCATAGGGCTTGGCACTAGCCTTCAACAGACACGTTTGGAAGATGAAAGCCTGTGGTTGCTGGTTTCCATCCAGATCCCCAGTCCTCTTCCCAGAACTACCCTAGCATCCCTGGGGAATCCAGACTCTGGAGGAGAATAGGTTTGGGGCAGGATGTCCCTTGAGCCTCGTAGGTCCTTGCTCCTTTTTAGGTTGGCACTGCAAATCAGCAGCCTTTCCCCAAAGCATTTGCAGTCAGTTTTAAATGCTTTGTCTTATTTTTCTACTCAAAACTTTTTCTTCCACAATGTTCAGAAACTCATCAGAGCCTTTTTCAGTATTTTCAGCAAATATCATGGTACTTCTGTACTTGTTTCAGCCCAGAACTCATTCGTTCAAAACAGAGAGCCTTAATCTTTACATTGGAACACAGACCACACATGTGGACAGCAGCCGTGGCTTCTTTCCCCAAGGGCTATGGACGTGAATATGCACTTCCGGGGATCTCTGCCGCCACCCCACCAGTGTGGACTTTCATAAGTTATCTCCTACCCTAAGGTAATCTATCTAAGATTAAAATGTAAACATTTATTTTTATTATATAAATTTATAAGATGTTTTATGTTTAATGCCTAATTTCTAGAAAGTGCCAGAAAATGTATATTAACTATTTTGATTTTATGTACAATGATTTTACTCTCATTTTGAAAAGACATCGTGAAGCACATAAGCTAGATAATTATAAGTAGTTATCCTTTTTTTTAAATGAGTGTTTGAAATGTTGAAGGTTTGTTAACAACCCAGCTTTGCAATGGTACTTGGAGTTTCTACTTCAAATCAACTGAACCACTGGAGAAATAAATGCAGTGGACCTAAATAATCATTTTCCATGGTTGGGGTGAGCAATATTGAAATATCTGAAATGGAAAAAATGGAAAAATATGGCTAATGAATTATGAACCTCCTAAAAGTATCATACTTTCACTAAAGTTTAATGACATTTTTCAAGAAAACAATGATAAATTCTGCAGTTCAGTGATTGCTAATGCAAAATGCCTATTAGAATTTTTTTCTTCGTTTTACAAAAATCAGTGGCTGAAATAGCTCAGATTAAGTACTCAGCCTGGTTTGAATTTAATCGTTATTTTAGATCTGATAAGGCCACCATTGGAAAATTGTTCACTTTTCAATTTAAAAGGAGCCTAGTTAAAGTACCATCATGAAGTGTGAACTACAAAAAGGAAACATTTCCCACAATGATAAAGAAGTAAGGCCATTATCTCATACCTCTGTGACATCTGTGACTATAAAGATTTAATAATCTTGCTGTTTTCCCTCCTTCTGACAAAGAATGCAATTGGGAGGATGATGCATCCTTGAAAATTGTAGAGGCCACCATGCTGGCCTGTATTTCTGACCTTGTATTCATGGACTGGCTTTCTGACTGCTCTGTAGTACACTTCTGAGATTGTTAAGAGAACTCTGTTGGTTGGTTGTCACTACCTTTCCGTCAGCCTCATCTCTTCCAGGAAGACATCATGTGCATAAGCACAATCATTGTTGATTACAAAGTATTGGCAGAATACCCTTGAATCCCTTGAGCAGACTTTATCAGGAAAATGCGAGTACTTCGTCTCTGAATTCAGATCTTCCATAAGTACTGCTTTGCCTGCTGATTTTCACCACTTTGTATTAATGAGTTTGACCCAACAGTCTCTCAGGTCACAAAGTTCTCTTAGTGCACAGTGACGGCCATGTCTCACTACACACCTGCATTGTGCAGGCTCAGTACCTTACAGCTCAGATGTTTTATTGCATTTCCTAGTGTCTTACTTATCACCAGGGAAGTAGGTATGATCTCTAAAGTGTAAAACCCTTTCTTCATTAGAGATAAGTTCATTATAAATAATCATGTGATCTTCACATTTCAAGTTTTCAAATATAAATTGTGCAATCTAGTCATAAAATATGCACTGAAATATCTCTCTTAATTTGAGAACCAGTGATAAGAGTAAGTTGTGATAGAAAATATTTTAAAAGGAACTGGAAGGCCTTCCAGCAACAATTCTGAAAGAACAAATGACAGAATAGTCCATAAGACCTAGGAAAGGGAGGAACAAAAGTGCTCTTCAGAGCACCGGCTACTTTGTTGAACCATATTTATTGAAGTAACATTATTGTTTCCCCTTTATTGTACAGTTTTTCATAAATTCATCTCTTTCACTTTGTTCAAAATCTGTGCTTGAATCTGTGAGTTAGACAGAAGCCTATAGATTCTTTTAAAAGTTTCATGTTGAGCTAAATGCTACAGAGTTTAAATATATGAAAGGTAGATATAAAGAACAGAATTCACTGTATATTTAAAATTCACCATTGATATCCATAGTATGCATCCAATTATAATGGTCTAGGTTATGTGAACTTAGATAAAAAGATAAAAATAAATTTTAGGCAGGTTTTTGTTCTATAAATCAGAATTATAGATCTATCTTGGTTAGGCATAGTGGCATCTTTTTGTTCAGGTAAATTGAAAGTATAGAAGCATTTCATGCTGATTTTAATATTTCCCAACTATAGTCACCAGGGAGATATAACTGTTTTATATGAAATGTTTGAGAAATCCTAGAAGAAAGTAGTTTTTGGAAATATGTTGGCTACATAGTTTTTTTCTTATCCTGATCTAAATTACATCATTAAGTCTGTTAAAATATTGTACCAGTATTCTGTGTAGGGGAAAAGGTTAATCATTGATTATCTGCCCTCAGAATCCCAGAGTTAATTGTAATTGAGTGTTAAATTAACAATAGGTAGTCAACGCTGAGAACTAAAATTGAACCTCAATATGTCACTCTGCTTCTCTGGATTATTCTTTTTTATAATTAGAGCATCTATTTACCTTAACCAGTAATAAACTATGTATGTATACACACATGTATGTAGGCATGTATAGTTGGTGCTGGCACAGTTCTGGTGCAATCAATTAATTAGGATATGTTGTATTATGTATTTGGAATGTTTATCCTATTAGTGTTGTGAACTTTTGTCATAAAAGCAGAATTAGAAGAAACAGTTTTCCATAGTTTTTATTTGGTAATTATAGGAAAACCTTCTTAAGTCACCCCCATTTAATTTTTCCAATGAACATATTCCAGTTTTTAATTGTGTCCAACATTCTCTTGACTGAAAACCAGCATATTTTAAGATAGTTTTGTCACACATGTAACTCATTTTGTATTCAACCTGAGAGGAGGAAATGTAAATAGGTGTACTTCTCAGATAAGTGTTCAAGAAGACATTTGGCCAAAAGCAACAAGACAGGAAGCCTGAGCCAGAATGGACCCTGGGCAAGGTGGGCCCCACCTGCCAGGTAGTAGGGGCAGAATTGGGTACCATTTGGTGGCAATCTCTTTAAAACCCCCAGGTTTTACAGCAGAATCAACAGTCAGTGATGCAATATGATGTGATAAAAGCTGCTCTGAGATGATACCCTGGCTACGATTACAGAGCCTCACTTCAAGACCAAATTAGGATTTTATAAATGAGTAAATGATACCTTCTTCAATGCTCCATGTAATCACGTGGTGCCGTTCTTCTCAAAGTGTTGATTTCTGGTCCCTACCAGCTTAGCTTTGGCTGCTGGAAGCACAGTAGGTACTGACAGTTATTTCCTAGGAATCTTCACAGGCTTATTGTACTGTGTAATTGGGAAAAGTGAAAGTGTAATGTTTGGTGTTAATAAGTGACTGGTGTGAAAATAGGAACATGTGTCTGTGATATCAAGTATGGTTTTATTTGCAGTGAAATCTAAATTTTTTATCTTGTAGTAGTATTTTCTCACTCTATATCTTTTCTTAATACATTATTCCTAATATTGGCATTAAACAAGTTGGACACATTTAGATTTAAAATGTTTGACTTAAACAGATCAGCCCAGAAATGATGATAAATAAGAATCTTTATCTGGAATTACTAAATTAACTTTTAATGTAATGGTCCAGAAGAGAACAAACATTTATATGTGTATGTTTTTCTTTAAGCCTATTGCTCATTTTTAAGTGTTTATTTCTACATTCTAATATTTGCAATTACCTCACTGTTTTTCAGATTCTTTTTATTTAAGTGAGAAATAGTTCAAATTCTTCCTAATATTTGATGAAGTGAGAAATGTGATTGTTAAAAAAGACATTTTTAAAAAGCGTTCAATTTGGTATTCATTTATCATAATGCAGAAAGAGTTTTCTTTGCTTACAGCTTACATATTATGGATGCTTTTCAAAAATGTATTGTGCTCTTATTGTCTCTTATCAGCTTGTATGATAGATTATAAAGGTTGGTGATTGTTGTTCCTCAGACTTCTATATGTTAAGCTGGCAGCAGTAAAATGTTTTAATGCCATTACCTTTTAAATAATTGTATTATATTAACATACCACGTGTTTTCTGGGTAACTTTGAAAGAGCCAAACAAAAGTCTGTGAGAAATAGGAATTGATATTTTGTTATTCGTGTAGTTTTTCCTCATAAAAATGGTTATCCCAAAATTAACACGTTATCTCTTAGGGTTCACAATAAAAGTACTCCTGCTTACTCAAAAACAGTAAAAAAAAAAAAAAAAATGACACTTACCAACAGTTTTGTTCATTGTCTCAAAAGATCTTCATAAATGATCAAATTGTCTAGTTCTCAAGAGTGGAAAATTGTTTTCAATAGCAAGAATTTTAAACCTTAGTTTAAAAGTCCAGAATTGTCTCATGTTAGATTCAACATCCTATCGTTTCCCTTTCCCTGACTCTAGTCTTATTAAGGAGGAAGTCTAAAGAATGGGGACACAAAAGTCACTATTTCTTCCTGCCTTGTGTTGGCTCCTCCTGTGTAGGTTCTTTCACTGTCCGCTCTGTACAGCACCAACCCCCACCCAGCTGCTCTGTGTCATATCTTCCTCGGTTCTGGCCACAATTCCCCAATATTACAGACCCTGCCTGACAACACAGACATTCTCCATCCTGGGTGGATGACCAGACAACAGCCCCCGTCAAATTCTCCTGCTTCTCAGTCTACCAAGATGAGGATGAGGCCCCATATCTGCCTAGGGAAGCAAATGCTAGTATTGTCATCAGTTTTGCCAAACCATATACATTCCTGCCACCTCTCATGAGCCTGGTTGACACAAGGGGACCATGGAAAACACTTTTTTTTAATGTTGTGGAGGAATCAAACTCACAAATACAGAAATATCAGTACCATACTCTCACCAAGTGACAAGCTCACTGTCCCCTGCAGTATTTTGAGACTGTCTTGTGTCTCCTTAAGTCCCAGGGAAGGAACAGCCTCACTGACCACCGTGTTGAAGGAAAACCCTTGTATCAGCTGCAGAGCAGTGTTACAAGTAAAGGAGGAGAAAGCTAATTGTTTTTAAGGGGGGAAAATCCTTCTGATGACAATTCATCATTTTTAAAGTAAACTTGAGCATAGAATATCTTAGCCGTGCAGCTGTTGGACTCCCTCCCCTTGGGAAATGGTAATCCTACGTTGTGTTAGTTATAACCGCTTTGCTCTACTCTCTCAGATCTAAGAAAACAAAATGTTCAAGCATCTAAATGGGGAGTTGGCAGATACTGAGAGAAACTGGGCCATGCGTAGGGCAAAGAGTCTGGTTTTTGGAGTGAGAAACCAGGTACCCTTTACCTACTGGCAAAGGTGATGGAGCGAGGAAGCAGTTGAGGTTCTCATCATCGATACACTAAGGAAGCTGAGTGCATAAAGTTTTGATTTTTTACACTTCATTGTAAGTCACTGTAGTTCATTTCTTAATGGCTATTTTAGAGTATAATTTTTTTCAGAATTAACAAAATAGATATCTGCTCATTCTCTTTCTACATGTTTGTAAAGCCCACCTGGTTAGTATACCCTGGACTAGGACACAGTTAGGGCTAGAACACAGATCGGTCTTGAAGCTCCTCTCCAGTTCACAACTCGTGTCCTGATGTCATTCTTTGGTTTTATTTAGTTTCTTTCTTTAACTCAACACATTGGAAACCATGAGACTAAAACAATTTCCTTTCCCTTTCTTAAGTTTAGAGGGGATTGTTTTTAATCTTTAGCTTCCCCGCTTAGGTAGTGAAAACTTTTTGAATGACAGCAGTGACCTTCCCTAGGTAAAGCCACTAAAACTGAAAGCCAAATTCCATTCCTTTGACAAATATCCATGTATTTTCTAGGTGAAACCAGTAAATGAACCTCACATGATGTTCACTACCCATCCTTAAGCTTGGTGACTGGCCGGCTTTTTAAAATTTTATTTTTGGAATACAGGCATCTCATATTTTTTCTGAAGCCACACTAGCCTAATTCCTATTGCTTCCCCACATTAGCCTACCCATGTCCCAGCAAGTGGCAGTGCCTCCAGCGCTGCCTGTTTTGTGGGCAAAAGTCATGTGAAAAATACCCGGAAAGATGGGTTTTAGGTTTAAGTTCACAATCATTTGGGAACATTCTACACCATTAGGTTCTGACACTCTTTAAAAAAATTTTTTTAGTACTGACTACATATTTTACTGGGGGAGGAACTGAAAGGAAAATTTGAGCCAAGTGATGTGGTTGACTCCCTGCCCTATGTTTGTTTGTCTCCCCAGAAAATAGATTAGCCCATGTCTACCACTCAAGAGTCTTCTGAGAGTAAACAGTGAATGTGTATAAATGAGAAAAATTATCTCAAAGATCTAATTTTTGGTTTAGATATTTTCTTCTTTTTAAACTCAGGAATAAACCTGGTTTGTGGGTAGCATAATATAGCTGTTAAAACTAATTTGTAGGTGACTAGAGGGTCCTTTTAAATATAATTTTTCTAAAGACTTCTAACTTTGTTTCAACTCGGAAGAGAAACCCTTTGAATTAAGAAAAACAAAACAAAACAACTTCCACAAGCTCCTTCTAGGAGAGAGTAACATCAGTCTACCATCTTTCCCAAAGTGTTTATTTCTTGCCTGTTGTATCTCAGTTTTTATGAGTGAAAAACAAGGTGCATGTTTTTTATTTCTTGGAAAAGTGAATTGAGGTGTTGCATTAAATTTTCAAATGAGACAACTTAATCAAAAGAAAAGCATTGGTTTTGGAGACAAGAACACAGGGCTGTGGTTCCTGTTCCAACCCTGACTTTACTGTGTGACCCCAAGCAAATTATTTAACTTCTCTGTGCCTCAATTTCTCCATATATAAATGTGGGGATGATACCAACCATTGCCTACCTCATAGGGACATTTGGGGGACAAATGAGATAATATAGATAAGTATGAATGCTTTCACCTCTTTGGAAGAAAGGTGCTATATAATTGAAGTTGTCTTGTTTCAATGATCCAATTGTTAATTATGTTTAGGGTTTAGATAATAGCAATATTGTTAGTTATGTTAAGAGTACCTTTCGATTTAATGCATATTTCCAGTTCTCTTCTGTGGCCACATCTTGATCATCTAGTAATGGTACCTAAGGAACTGAAATGAGTATTTGTTTTCTATGTTTCTCCTGGTAGTATTTCAATTATGAATATTCAGAAAAGCCTGGAGTTTAACTTGTAATATCTTATAGTTTACATGTAATGAACCTTATTCAAGCTGTATATAAAAAGTATAATTATAGGTAAAGTATAATTACAAGTAAATAGCAGGTACATTGTAATTAAAGGCACTTTTCACATTGTCTTTGTTCTTTTTTAATTGTAATAAAGGTCGGTTTTATATAAAATCTTGTTAAAATTCATTTGGTATTTGGAAAGGTCAAGAATGGCTAATTTGTATATTCCTAGGACACAGCCAGGCTTTGGGATTCTAGCAGTATAATAACCAGAAGACTAAGTGTGGTGATCAGACCAAAAAGTACTGGTTAGGATCAAAAATTCTGCAGAAGAGCATCTTGATTTGAATCATAGCTCCACGATGACCTTGAGACTGCTGTTGAACTTCTCTGTGCCCACTTAGACCTAGGATATGAGGGATAATAACATAGAACTTATTAATATGAGTTATATTAGGGACTAATGAGGTATTGAGCATGGGACATAGCGAATGCTAAATGCTCTGCAAATGCTAACAGACAACTTCACAAGACTAGGAATTGGTGGTGACATCCATCATTTGCAGTCTGAGAGTAAGTAATGCCCAGACCACAAAGAAAACCCATCTGCTCGTTGTCTGAAGAAAGTCTCAGACCAAGCATCAGACCCTGGCTGCTGCCTCCTGGTCAAGACCACCTTGGGGCCAAAAGGTGAAACAGTGAGGGCTTTCCTTGGTGACTCCTGTTTCCTTTTTGTCTGTGCCTCTGAACTCAAGATACCCCAAACCCATGGATTCCTTCATATAAGCCCCCCACACCCATCCTCCCTTTCTGACCCCATATGTACATTTCCCATTTCTCCAGGGACTGACCTGCATGTTCTAACCAGCTGACTTCCTGTGCCAAAGGTTACCACCCCCTCCACTCCTAGGACTGTTTACAATGAGAGGAGCTTGCTTTCTATTGCTGTCTTGAGTTAAGCCCACTCTTCACCCTATGGTGGGCATTACAAGCCCAAGGAAGGCTGCTGGGGGTGCCTGGGGGAAGAGGAGGGAGCAGAGGCTCCCTGCAGACCTCACACCAATCAGCAAATGCCTGCTGAGCCCTCAGAGCCATGGTCGCTGCTCCCATGTCCAAGGGCACCACTCACCCTAGGACTTTGCTTTCCTGTACATGATATAAGCCACTAAGAGCAGCTTGGAGGTAGATTTGGGGAAGAGTCTGGCCATGTTGGTTTCAAACCCCAGCTTCATTTCTCAGCACATGGAGAGAACTTCCTCTTACCCAGAACTGCCAGGCACAACACCATTCTATGTGTGAAAACTCAGAACTAAGAAAAACTTGTTCTGAGTCTTTGGATCATAGAACCAGGCTTCCCACCTGGACTACATAAAGAAATTGAAGCTTGGCAATTTGGTAGGTTTTCTGTCACCTGGGGAATGGAACAGTCTGCAATTCTGTCAGAGGTGTGTATTGCCAATTCCAGCCCATAGTAGACATTTAGCAGTTGTTCACTAAGGGAATGAGAATTCTGATGCCCAATTAAAGGTGAACCAAACATATTCCATCCATTTTGTCATTGTTTAAAAAGAAAAAAAACTTCTACCTTTCTACCTCTGTGAATACAATCTTCACTATGATTCTATTCATTGAAAAAATACTCAGGGCCTTACTGTATCCTTAAGGTCATATGCTAATTACTTGTTCTCATCTCAGATGATTCTTAAATCAAAATCTTAAAACTAGACCTTGGATGCTCCAACGCCAACTGTCTACCAGGCATCACATCTGTTTCCAAGTTGTCTCCATCTGGATTTCCTGATGTCACCCCAAAATGCGATCATTCTGGAGTACAATCATCTTTTCCAGCTGGCCCATCTGCCCTTTGGTTCGCATTTTAGATTTGAAGTGTCCCTCCACACAGCAAGCACTAAATAAATGTTTGATCTGGCTTAAATTCCCATGCATTGCTCTCAGTCTTGTGAGTCTTCCTGGACCTAATGTTTATCAAGTCTTAGGATTTTATCCTTCAGTTTTTCTGCTTCCAAAAGCTTTTCTGTGACTGAATTTCTGAAGAGATGGCAGGGTAACAAGGTAGGGATAGTCTCCAAATGAGACCAGCCCAAAAAATGGCGGGGGAGGAAGAGAGGCATCTGACTTGGAGATAAACAGACTCACCACCTGGCAGAGCGGTCTTCGGAAACAGACAAGTGATTCAAAGCAAACAGCTTTCAATGTTCAGACCCAAAAGGAAAAAAAATAAATAAAGCATTGCAACATCGAAGTAGAAAAACAAGTTAACAGGAAAGCAAAAGAAACCACAGGAAAACCATTTATTGATTCACTCTATAAATATTTACTGAGCACTTACTATGTGCCAGGTATTGAAAGATGGTGACAGAGAGAGACAAAACTCTTGTCTCATTGGAGCTTACATTCTCATGGCCTGAGGCCTAACTTCAGATGTTTGGTATCCACACAAATTCTCAGGGGATTGATACCATGGTATCTCAGCCAGTGGTACCAAGTCTCTAGAGATCCACTTTAGATAAAAGGGTCTGGAAAGGCCTCCATTGGAAGGTTATAGCTAATGTGAGACCAAGAGAGTAAGCCAAAGAAAGACCATTCCAGGCATGGACCAAAGCCAACACCAAGCCTCCAAACCAGGAAAACCTTGATCTTCTCATACACACAAATCAATACAGAGTCAGCCTGCCAGGCCTGTGCATGTCTTATCTCAGCTTGCTTGCCTTTGTCCAGCCAGGCCCCATCCTTAGTATCTGCAGCAAGGCAAATCATCCTTCCACGCTGTCACCAGAATTACCCTCCAAAAAGCAAAACTGTTTGGGTCAGGAGAAAAGGACAGATTGCTCAGTAGAGTAATTATTAAGGCCCTAAGGCATGGCGCCAGATTCTGAAGATACGGAAGTAAATAAAACAAGCAAGGGCTTCTGTTCCAAGGAACCATGCATTCCAGTGGGGGAGGAAGAGAAATGATTTTAAAACAAATTTCAGATAGTGAATGTGATAAAACAAGATAGAATAAAATAAATGATGATGAAGTAAAGAATACCTTAGTTTAGGTGGGGCAGGAAGAATGATACCTTTCTACTGGGAAGAGTAGAAAGTGAGCTGGAGTAGCCATATAAAACTTGAGGATCAAAATAACCTGAGAAGAGAAAATGGCAAGTGCCCAGGACCCTAGGGAGGAAAAGAGACTAGAATATTCTGGGGCCTCAAAGGAGGCTCTAGCAATGGAGAGTGTTGGAGTGGTGAGAGTCAGAGAGAAACAGAGGCACTGAGACTCAAACTACAGGCAGGGACAAGGTCCCACGCAGCACCGTAGACTAAGGAATCATGCTGGAATGCTAGGAAGCGAAGGTATTGAATGATGTTAAACACATTTGGCATAAGTTTTCATTACATATAAGACCATAAAATTAGATTCACAACTTACACCATAAATGAAAATAAATTTCAGTTAAACAGACACTCATAAAGGACAAACATAGTAGAATAGCTATAATAATATAACCTGCTATTTATGAGGCACTATCTATATGCAATTAGTTATATCTGTACCTTTAATCCTCAAAACAACCTGAGTTAAACACTCTTACTTGTCTCATAAAAATGAACAAACTGAAGCACACAATAGTTAAGTTGAACAACTTTTAGTTCCAAAGATGGGATTTGAACTCAGGTAATATTCCACTCCTGAGATCTTAATCAAAATTGTACATGGGGAGATTTTTATTATGACTTAGGACCATAGGATTTCTCAAGAAATGCACACAATCATAAATCATAAAGGAAGGCCCGGGCTGGTGGTGCACTCCTATAATCCCACCACTTGTGAGGTGGATTGGTGGCAGGAGGATTGGTGTGAGTTTGAGGCCAGCCAGGGCAAACTAGTGAGTTCAAGGCCAGACTGAACTACGCAGTGAAACTTTGTCTCAAAAAGCAAAACAAAACAAAACAAATCCTAAAGGAAAATCTAGATATATTTGTCTCCATATGTGTGTAAAATGTTTTTATGAGGATTTAAATATATACATCAGCAACCTAAGGACATCATATCTGTCTTATTCACCACTATGTTCTCATTCACTTGCATGCATGCCTGTGCATACGAGGTGCTCACTAATATATGTTGAGGGATGAATGATTGGATGAGCAGGTAGGTGAATAGCATTTAAGTTTATGTGCCGCCGGGCTTTACACTATGTGCTGGTGACATAAAAGTGAATCGTAGACCACCACCCCAGCCCCATTTCCTGGAAATCACAGGGTGATCTAGACATTTTCAGATATGCTAACAAGGAACTGAGGGGCTCAGCCTGAGGCATTTGGAGTTTGTCCTGGAAGATGCTGAGCCCAGGGGCAGGGAGACCAGTTCAGACATTACGAGGGCTTTACCCAAACAGGAGGAACAGGAAAATAAAGAGGGGAGTATGCTAATTCTAGGCATAAGTGGTTGGTAGTACAAAAGAGATCTGGTGGATGATACAATGTAAAGGATTTAAAGCTGAGATGAAAAGATAGCTTGGATTTCTGAATAGATGGTGATGATTTTCTTTTTTTTTTGGTACCGGGGATCAAACTCGGGTCCTTGTGCTTGTGCAGCAGGCAGTGAAACCACTGAGCCAAATCCCTGGCCCCAGACAGTGATGATTTTAATGAACTACAGATATAAAAGGAGAATGTTTGAAGGAAGTAGACAGTGATTTCAGTTTGGACTTAGAATATGAATTTTTGTGTTTCCACATCTACTTAATATTTACCCGTTTCCTATTCATTGCATAACTAATTAATAATACTATTCTGAGCTTCTAGATGAAAGATGTTATATACTATCATGATATGGAGTTGGAGGAGGAGATGTAAACTCACCAATTACAATAAATTGAAAACTATGGAATTTCCACTGAAACATGACCATCCAGACTTGAACCCAATCGGTGGGTCCTTCTAAGAGAGGACTTCAATAATGGATTTCCCAAAACCGCATGGTTAATTGTGCATTAACTTCCTTAATCTTACATTAACCTCAGCTCCAACAAATAACTGTCACATGATATTATGATCATATTGGTGCTTAATGAAAGAATCTACAATTATTGTAATGAAGACTACCTTAGTAACTGAATAAAGACTCAACATGGAGAGCTGGAAAACAGTTAAAAAGAAGA